CTACTACTACTACTACTACTACTACTACTACTACTACTACTACTACTACTACTACTACTACTACTACATTCAGTCCTATATATAGGGCTCTACTCCGATTTAGAAACAAAGGTTCTGAGCATTATACAAATATAAATATGTGCAACAGCCAATCGGATGTGCTGATAAGTAGGCCGAAAAGTATGGATCTAGGCGAAAAACTCTTGTTTTCTTACCAAAAAAGGTGACACGGATGCAAATGTTCCTTGCCAAGAGTATGAGTGGATTTCGTAGAAATCTAACACTCCCTGTGGATCAAAAGAGATAGAGGGATAAGCTGTGCAATACAAATTGAAGAACAATAATACGTTAATGTACAACAGTGACGTTTTCAAGTGCTTAATTAATTAAAGTTGATTTGAACCCCATGTGGCTGTTTAACACTTTCCACAGACTAAGAAACTGCAATTATACAAAATGTGAGGCAGCGTGGTGGAATCAGGCACTCGTTAATTTTTGGGCATTCGGAGTAATTAATATGATCTTAAAGCTTGTTTATTTTTCTTCCATTTAGAGAAAAAAGTTCTCTACTATTTTGAATAGTAGTTGAGATATATGAGATTGAAGAAGAATGTGTCACTTAGTTTCAGAGGTAAAGTTATCGAGTATCGAGAAAATGACGCCAAAGTTCGGTAACTTCCATAGCTTGAGAGTCCTCGGGAAATGAAAATTTACATTTTTTCGTTCTTTAATCAACGTTTTATAATAAAATACAAATAAAACTGTGTTTATAAATAGACATAAAAGATATGTGAGCAAAAAACCCCACCCAAAAATGCCAAAATTATTACCAAATTGGCGGAAAGGTACTGTTTTCTTCGATTTCATTATTTTGACGAGCGCCTGATTCCACCACGATGCCTCACAAATATTACGTATTTTGCGTTTAGTACATCTTAATAGCTAGCTAGGCAACGATTTCTTTATATTCAAGACACAACCCCATGTATATTCTTATTACACTATTTGAGCGCCCTAATATGATGAAGTGTCTATATTTTCTTTTTTTATTTGTTTGTTGTTTTTTAAAGCATTACATAGAAATGGAAGACTACAAGGAAGAAGAACTCTTGTTGGTTGGTGTTTTGTCCAGAGAGAGAGAGAGAGAGAGAGAGAGAAA